ATGGCTGTATTGGTTTCTTGCCAGCAAATTTCTGTATTCGAAAAACAGTATTTTTTCTTCAGTTAATATCTCTATCTGAGACCTTTAAGCAAATTGCTGATATTATTCATTGTTTCTTAACAATGTTCTTTAAAATCCTCTTATGTGTCCTTCTGTTTCTGACCAACTTTTAAGCCACTCGGAACTTCTTTTCCACCCATCCTACTTTGGGAACAGCTAAGTTAACAATATCTCTGCTGCTGAAGACTTTTTCTCTCAATGAAACTTCCACATTGCCTGACTACTTTTGGACGTTTCTGTCACTCTGTGATACTGGGCTCAGCACTACCAGTTTTCATTTTACTCGTTTTTTTGATGCACTGAACTGTTCACCTTGAGGATTAAATAATCTCAAAACAAAATCCAGACACCCCTTCACTACTTGCAGAACTCAAAAATGAAACTGTTTCCCCTTCTTAACATACGATACCGAAATCAAGCTTAAAAATCTGTACATTGTTTTTCTTTTTCATAACTCAGACTTCCAAATAGTAATATATAATGAATCTTTGTCATAAGATCAATTTATAAAGTCAATTCCTCGAAGTATGGGAATGTTTTGTCCACTACACATTGACTGGAGACCAGAGTTTCACTTGTTTATTATCAGTAGCTTGAAGATGTGGCATTTCTTTTTGATTGACATGAACTTTTCTTCATGAGATTTCCTGTCCAATAGTACTTGTATTTGAACAAAACTGATGGCAAAAAAGTGAAAATCAGTTTGAATCCAAGTGACAAGAGTTGCATGTTCATTATTAATTTCACTTATTGGAATAATCTGTGTAGGCTTTTTAACATCTTTATTTGGTGTCTGCCTGTATTGCCTTTTAAACTAATTCGGAATCTTAATTTGGGCAGATCCTTTGCAGTTGGTATTCGAGTTGAGTAAAACCTTTGAAAATGTTCAAGATTGTTGTTTGCAGGCAAATGCAATGAATATAATCAAAGACAGACATTTGCATGTATAAGACTCTAATTGACATAGCCAGACATTTGCAAATGCCAAATCCGTTGAGACACTGTATGTCGAGATTAACTTTCAGGAAATAAATGAGTTGGTTTAGAATCTGGCAGAATCTTTGTTTCCTAGTATGATGTCATTGCTGATCACAAACACCCGGGGCTGGTGAACAGCTTTAATTTAGCAATAAACTCGATTTTGTTGCATTCTTGAAATTTTATGTTGGCACAGCCTCATTAACCTGTTTATGTGTTCTATTAGGGATTGAAGCAATGTCCATTATTCATTATTGTTTTGTTGCTGAGCAACAGACCATCTGTGTTGTTGCTAATATTTGTAAGTAATGAGGTAATTTGCAAAGGAAATTTACTTTATAAAATTTTGGCCAAAAATGACTTTTAAAAATTTCTTGTACTTCATTAAAGCAGATGTAAAATTAGATTCATTTAATTATTGAAAGCCATAGGCCATTTCCTTTTCAGAGATGTTTCATCAGAGTTGTGCTGTCTCGGCTAATGCACTACAAATATGGAAAGCATTATGGAATAAAATAATACGTAGCAAGTCATATTTTGAATTATGAAAATATAACAAAATATATTCTAACATTCCTTTTTCACTGAGCCAAGATAAACCCAAACATATTGTAGTATTAGGACTACACATTGATTAAGCAATCAGAAGTTCCTGAAGCTTGAGAAATCTTAGTGTTCACCTCACAAGTAGCCTGCCTTTTTACTTGTTTCTAATTGTGTAAAATCATCCTGATTTTCACTTTGTTTTTGCTATGGCTTTGGGTTGAAACCTAGATTAATAAGATTCCACTTGATTTATTTTGTGAGCAGTCTACAATGTGAGAGGTGACAGATGTGAGGAGTGTAACATCCTCTCGTTCATGCCAGGATTGAAGGGTTCCAGCCAAATACTGGAAAATGGGACTAGATCATTTTAGGATATCTGGTCAACATAAGTGAAGACCGAAGAGTCTGTTTCTGTGCTGTATAACTCTATGACTCTGAGTTGTCCAAAGTCAGATAAAATTACTTTGTGTATTTCAGAGTCAATAAAGCCAATTTCATTCCAACATAAGCTACTTCTTTGGGATGGAGGGAAGTTAATCTGCTTTTCAAGTCCATACATCCTGCCAATTAGTGGTAATGCGGTGCTTGTCAGTCTTGAAGAACTTTATTATCAACACAGTAGAAACTAGATTAGGTTTGCCCAAGACCAGTTCACCTACTGCAGACAATGACACTGAGTTGACTGAGGCTTGAGAAAGGTCGTCCATTTGAAACATTGATTGGAGTTCTGTGGAGGTGACAGAAACCATTGGTGACTCCTCAGATATTAAAGCAGTCCATATCCATATTCAGCAAGACCTGGACAACATCTAAGCTTGGCTGATGAGTGGATTTTGGGCCACAGAAGTGCCAGGCAATGACCATTTATGACAAGCAAGGATCTAACTACCACCTCTTGATGTTCATTGACATAACCATCGTTGAATTCCCCACTACCAACATCTTGGGGATTACCATTGACTAGAATTTGAAATGGACCACTTATATAAATGCTATGGGTAAGAATAGTCAGAGGCTACCAATTCTGCAGTGAGTAATTCACCTCTTGTCTTCCTAATGGACATCCGTCATTTACAAAGTGTACAGGAATTGTAATGGAATACATTCTGCTTGCTGACTTGGTGCATCTCTGACAACATTCAAGAAAACATCATTGCAAGTTACCTCCAAACCATGCACCATGCACATTTGGAACTATATTGCTGTTCTTTGACAATTGTTGGTTAAAATCTCAGAACTTTCTCCATAACAGTACTGTGGGTGTAACAGCAAAACTTGGGCTGTTGTGGTTCAAGAAAGCAGCTCACTGCCACCTTCTAAATAAAGGGTGGCCGAGTCACCGTTGCCCACATCCCATCAATGAAAAACCAATCCTGCTGCCGGGCAGAAAGTGAGGGGTTGAACCCACTTCAGAGGGCGGTGGGACCCAAAGCCATATTTTGCTGGCGGCAGCCAATCAGCTGGGTACCATAGAGGATAGCAGCCTCTGCTATCCTTTAAAGGATCGTGACCCACTCCCAAAGCTAGCTGGCTACAGGCTGCTACTTGGACTGCACCTAGGAGACGGGTGTGCATTGATAGACATGTGACCTCAGACTTCAATGTAACTGAAGTCTGGGGTTGTTAGGATCAAACAGGTGAGCCCTGCAAGGAGAGTCATGCGCGGATCTCTGAGAATAGGTAGTATCTTTTGACATTAGGTGTACTTCCATGAGTCTAAAAGTGCCCAAAAAGGAGCTCCTCCCCCTGGAGTGCACTGGGAAGTTGCCAAGGTTTATCTGGTGGTCTTTCCAGATAGCCTTAGGCCCCTGCTTGCTGGTAAAATGACAGCTGAGGCAGGAGGAAATCCTTAATTATCCATTTAAGTGGTCCAGATATTTGCCAGACAGGCTCTCTGTCAACTTTCCCTCTGCTAGCGAAAAGCTATGGTGGGGAGAAAGAAGTCAGTTGTGCCACGTAGCTCTTTCTAGTGCCATTTTGTCATTCTTCCTGCCTCCTAGCAGTTCCCCAAGGGTCTGATAAAATTCAGCCAGTTGCTCTGTCTGTCCACAGATGCTGCATGAACTGATGAATATTTCCACATTTTCTGTTTTTAAATGTTGACTATGTCCAGTTTGTTACCATGACCTTGATGTCTGTGTATTTGGATGGCATTTATGCCCTCTGTAAAATGCAAAATGTTTTCCATAATTCTAAAGTAAACGGGATTTGTTGGCTAAATCTCAGAGAAACATTTGCTGCCTTTACTGCTGTTCCAGTTGGAACAGTTCTCCACTCTTTATAAGTTGCTCAACAACTGGCAGCAGATATTCATTCTTGCCACTTTTTTAAAGGCCATTGGGTTTTCAGCAGTTGTTTCTTATAATGTGTAATCCATGTACGAGGTGCCAGCATCCCTGCTGAATCCTTATTGAGAGTCTAAAGCCCCTGATAGATTTGGTATGTCTCAGATTTAATAGGTGGAATGTGAAATGCGGTTCTGCATTTTCTATTTTCTGACTTAACCTGCTGGTTTCAGTTAATACTTGGACTGTCATTCAGTGACTCTGCATATATCCTAATCCCTTCATGTACATTCACTATGTTGCTAGCCTGGTTTTATGTGAAATATCTTTCAATATTCAGATTTTTGATAACTTACATTATTGTAAAATCTTGGGTGGTGTACCAAAACCCAGTCTTTTTTCTTTAATCACACTGATGTGCATCTTTCAGACTCCACTTTGCAGTAATAATAAGTACCACAGCTTTACAGTATTATCGGGTGTACCTGGTAATAAACAACTAGTTCCACAAGTAACAACCGTCAACTATGCACACACCGTGCCCAGTCCAGAGTTAGAGGTATAATTCCAGAATAATTCTTTGTGGTGTGAAGAAATAGGCTCTGAAGGGCCCTCAGAAAATACCTCTTGCACTCATTTTGGTTTCTTTTATTACTCCTGCTTGACTGCTATGTGCTTAAAATACAAGATTTTTACAAAGTCATCCAAACAGCTATCGAAGTTGATCTTGGTACTTCCATGGTGAATATTACTAATTTCCATACAACTAGCAGGAAAAAACAGCATTAATTTTAAACATTCATTAGCCATCAGCTTTTTGGATTTGGGGAAAGGAATCAATGTTGTGTGTTACACTACAATCATTGATGTAGTACTTTTCTTTTTTACATTTTAGTATATTTGGAGTCTTGTATAATTGTCTTTATATCCAGAGTTTCAGACTTGTTTCATTGTATAGTCATTAACATTTGAGATTCTCTGCCGATGTCTTTGTGTAACTCGCAGAATCATGTCTGACTTTCTTTGATGTCCCAGTTGAATATATTGAGACCTTATGTTCTATTCCAGAGATCTGTTTGATGAAGCATGATTCTGTTTCCAATCTGTACCCATTCTTACATTTATTTACAGTGAGCCATTAGAAGCATGCACCTCCTAACTCAACTACTGCATAGTTTCAGTGAGTGTTTCTTTACATGTGCACAAGTGAAGCCCTGATAATTGCTCTCTGCCAGCATATTGGGTGCATTTGATACACAATTTGCATCTTATTCTGTGCCAAAATTTATGAAGTTACAAATTAAATAACATACATCACAACGTATGTAGTTTTAAGAATTGCATTCTGTGTTCTATAGCATTGTATAAATCAGTCATGCATGATAATTGCAGAATATGAAGGCCAACAATAATATTTTGTATTTTGCTATTGCACACTTTCAAATTTACTTTATGTCATACTCCTTTGGTGAAAGAAACAGTAAAAATTTGGAAGTACTTTGTACTATTGTGTCAAAATATTTGCTACGAAATGTTTTTCTTGCAATGATCTCTTCTCATATTTATTCCAAGATATAGCTTGCTTATTTCAAGAGATTTTCCTAAACCCTCTATATCTATTTTTATTGCCAAAAGCAATTTTATTAGCATTGTTCAGTTGTCCAGTTAATTGTGGCTCCAAAATGTGTATTTATATGGAATAACGTTTTGGCTAGCTGTCAATGTCTGGGAGGTAAAATCCCTGGAGCTGAATTGTCAAATTATGCCAAATGACTGTAAACCATACTTGTCCCTATTATTTTTTATTTCATAATCACGCACTTGAATGCATCATCATTTTAAAGTGCAATTTACATAATAAAATAGAAAATGCAACCTTGGATTTATAGAGTTTTGAATTTGAAGTTGGAATTTTTTTTTATCATGTACATTTTAAACGGTTCTCTTGGTTAAACCAATATGAAGTTTGTTACATCTTGTATACATTTATGAGAACAAATAAACTCTGCTGATAATTAGACATGCCTTAAATATAAATATACTAGCAAGAAGGAATAATGCATTTTGGATGAGCTTTACAAACAGCTGTTTCCAATTGAGACAACATACATTGAACTGACATTTTGTTTATTATATAATTACTGTAAATTATACACAATGATTTAGCAACTGTGTGCCACTACCGAATCATAAAATGTGTAATCTTTCATAACATGATTGATTTTAACATCTTAATTACGTAGCCAGTTAAATATGCTCCGATGACTGTTTCACCCATGGGAATTAGAAACCCTGTTCGTTAAAGCTTACAGTAGATTCTGGTTTGTAGATTCGTCATTTATAATTTAAATATGCTTTGCTTAGCAAACAGAAAAAAACGTAGTTCACACAGTTTAAAAACATAAAAACTATTTATTTACATTATTTTGAACAGACTAAGTTGTTTGTCTTGTAGCAGTTGATTAGAGATTGGAATCTCAGTTTAGTTCCAAATGGTGTATATTTGCATATCTTATTGCATACATAGCCAATTATATTATATAGCTATTATATAGCTATTATATAGCCAATATGAGTGGTTTTCAATTCTGTAACTAGTAGTACATTATAGAGTTTTTAACTAAAAAAATATACAAATCTCTCTAAGCATTGAAAGTTCCTCTTGAAAATTCAGATTTTGGTGCCTGTTCAAATATTGAAGAAGCCCTTGCAACATTTTCAAAGAAGCTATGTATATCCAGTGGCTGATAACTGCAGTTCTGGACTCTTTGTACCTTTTCATCTATAATCCAGATGTTGAAATACATGAGTGTATTTCACCTCCCTACCCTACCCTTGTAACCCTGTGGCTAATGCACCTAACCTACACATCCCTGGACACTATGGGCAATTTAGCATGGCTAATCCACCTAACCTGCACATCTTTGGACCGTGAGAGGAAACCCAAGCAGACACTGGGAGAACGTGCAAACTCCACACGGACAGTCAACCGAGGCTGGAATTGAACTCGGGTCCCTGGCACTGTGAGGCAGCAATGCTAACCACTGAGCCACTGTGCTGCCCATTGCCTGTTGTCATCAAGGCTTTTCTCCATGCACATATTTTCTGTGAGTCCATATGCTTCAGGTGTATGTACATATCTTGATTGCTGCTACTTTTTTTTAATCTCCATATTGTATAATAAATTTAGCACTTGGGTTAGGTATTTCTTTGAAAATTCCAAAATACTTGATAGTTCTGTAGGTGGCGCTATAATCAGCATTTGCAGTGTTTCGGGTCAATTGCTGCAATGTAAATAGAGATATTTTGCTGTCAGTGCACAATCTGGTTACCCCCTTTCCACAGAATCACCTGTTTTTAAAATTAGAATTGAATTTTCCTGCAACGAGCTCTAGTTCCCAAAATCAGCAGAAAATAAGACTTATGTGATTAAATCTTCTACAGCAGGATAATTCAAAATCTATTAACGGAATTGTCTTCAAAAGTATTCAGTCAAGATTTTATTCAAAGGACTCGGCGTTTCCTAAAAGCTTGGGCTTGAATTTTCAAATTTACTGTAGAGTTTTGTGGCAATGAAGGTTGCTTAACTTCCTAGGATTTATTAATACTACTTCGTCAGTTCTACTGAGAGAATTTTTTTTGGATTATAACAAATGTTACTCAGCTCTTTTTAAAATAACTTTAAAAACAGAGAACCAAATTCAAAAGCTTTCTATATCTTCGTCCTTTGCAAGACAATGAGGAAAAATCATATTTAATTCAGGGTGTTTCTGATTTTGTGCTATGTTATGTAGGTTATAGAGTATAATATAAATGTCAGAAAGGAAGTTAGAAACACAAAGCAGGAGTTGCCAGACTTTTTTGATAGGATTTTGATTGACAGATGAGGGTGCGGATACGAGGCAGGTGGACATGTAATTTTCCAATGCCAGCTATCATGCAGATTACCCATTGCTGTTCCAACTGCCAGTGCCTTTATGAACACAGGTGGTCCCTTCTTGAGGATGATCACATAATTCACAGGATATCACAATACCTTACCACTAAGTGTTAAGGTCACTGTGGCTTTGGAAGCTTCAGCGCATTATTACATCTGACAAGTCATTGTTCTGAGAAGCAGGACAGTACAGTTGCAAATAGATTGGACATCTAGTTTTAAAGGTAGCGGGACTGGTTTCTGTTGATGGATTCCCCTGGCAGCAGTGCATCATCGATTGCAGCCATGAGGCCCTTAAGGTGCTAAGTGAGCAGACAATGAGATTCATTAACTGGAATGGCTTAAATATGCAATTGGTATGTGACCATGCCAAGAGCTCATATATACACACACTTGATGCTTCCAAGGCAAACGAATAAGGGTCCAACATAGCAATAGGTGAGTAGGGAAATAGTCTTTTTCCTCATTCTAACTTGTATTTTTTTTCATTTATTTAGTAAACGCAGCCAAGTGACATCCTTCTCATTTGCTGAGTTTAAAGTGATTAGTCCACCACATAGCCTACAGCGTGGTGCAGGATTTGTTTGTTTCTACAAGTGGATAAATGTTTGTGCTGGGACCCAAATACTGAATCATATCTGCACAGTGGCCCAGATCTGACCCGAATTGGAATGCTTCAGTTTTACACCTTCTTAGTTTGTTAACTGATAACTGTTTAGTGAGGCCTACTCTCTGGAGGAGTTCATTTGACAGATGAGGTTTGCTGTGTGAGACATGTTAGTGATTGCCTGTGTTTCCCATTCCTTGATCCAAAGAATGTTTGCTGTAGATTTTTTGAGGAGCAGTGTTTTTACTCAAAGGATTACATGGCAGGGTTATGATGTTTGTAAAGGATAATTGGGACAAAATTGGGCAGCTCTCGATAACGGCATCTTTCAGTGCTGTAATATTGTATCCATCAAGGAAGGAAAAGCCTAAAGAGTCAGCGAGCTTATGTCACCAACATTTTGCAGGGAGAGTGGGAGTTTTGCATTGAAGGAAGACCCAGTGGGATAAGTGAGAGTAAGAAAGGACGGGTTCTGTACTGGTTGCATATTTTATTGGAAGGATCTAAGATTAGAATGAGGAGGTTGCAGGAAGGGGAAGATAAACTGAATAAGCAAAGGAGTGTGTAAGCAGTGGGGTTATGAAGTTCAGAGTTAGCATACATGATTACTGGAAATGATGTGAAGGAAGCTTCTGAGAACCATGCATTCTTGTAAGTTCACTTGAAATATGCTTGCAGGTGTACCTTTTCCTGCCACGTCATCTCCCACCAAAAAAAAACAAAAAAAAAACAAAAAAAAAACACATGCATGCATTAACAAAGGAAAACAGAGAGACAGATATCTGCAAAAATTGAGAGTGGCCATATTCTCCATTTACCATGAGCAGTGTTATAGGGGATTGACTAGTTGATACATGCATTGCTTATGGCATTAAACACTGGGCAACAATATGCTCTTCAGGTGAAGGCAGGGGATAATTAGACCATGGTAAAGGCATAACTGAATCTCGCTCTACAAGTCATACATTTTTGTCCTCTTTTTAATGATGTCATTTTATATTCTTATTATAGTTACAACAGAAAAAACATACAGCAATTTAGAAAAGAGGAGGCAGTGACTGGAGGATAAGAGTTTGAAGTATCAGTTAACAAGCTAGAAGATATAAAACTGAAGTATTATGATACCACTATTATTTGAAGGATGTAACTAACAATGACAGAATATTGCAGTTTCCAACATATTGAAATTTGGACAGAATTTGCAATGAGCAAAATTAACAACAGCATGTTTGAATTTGTTATTTTTATATTCAGCTATCTAGATGTTAAAATCAGGCATTTGTCTACAAATAAATGTTCTAAAGGCCATATTATGCATAAAGCACACATTTATTGGCAGTTTTGCTGCATAAATGCAATAACTGTAGACAGATGTGCATTCTGGATTTTCAGGACTCTGTTGATTTGCTGAAAATGAGCATATTTATAAGCAGACCTTGAAGTCACTTATTTATGTAGCTGGTAATGAGAGTTTATACTATGTGTTAATGATGGTATTGAAGAGCTGTTCTTCGTTTAATTTGTTGTGAAATAACATATTGGAATTGTTGAATCTACACATGAAAATAATCAGGAACAACAATGCCTATAATGGATAAGAACAGAAAATACCTCCAAAATGCATTACTTGGCATGTGAGCATTACAAAATAACAGCAGAAAGTTTAATGAGATATATTTAGCAGTTCCTGACAAACCAAAAGAATCAAGAAGATATTCAGTTGGCACTTTACATTATTCAATGCAATCTGTGGTGTGGTATAAAGAAAACTTAACATTCAACATGCAACATATTCATTGACATCAGTTACATAAACCACAAACACATTGTTTTTCAAACTCCTCTTCCCAAAGTGTTTTATTGTGGAAGAGCTGAGTTTGGTCTTAAACATTTTTGGTAATCTGTTTTTTGCAGCAACATACAGAGATTCATGATTGGTTGCAGGAAATTGGAGGAAATAAGCTTAAAATCAACAGTTTCCAGGTGACTGCCATTTGGCAGAGGTTTTAGGAGAGGTTTGTGACATTTCTTGTTCCCTTGAAGCAGTTATGTTTTTCATAAATGGAATCCAAAGGCAATTGAATCAGAGTACAGTCTGTGATTCATGAGAATGTTCCAGTGATCACTACATTTGAAGGTACCATGGACATTACAGATTTTGTTTCCCCCCTCTTCCTGACAGCAACTCTAGAAAATCTCAATGCATGTTCCAGTTACATTTTGGGAAACAGGGAAAAGCGTCAAGAAGGGCTGTCTTGGAAACTTAAATGACAAAGCCATGAGAATTATCTTGGTCTCAGTTATATAACTTAAAATTTGATTAATTGACCTGATAA